GGGGGGGTAGCCACGCCGCAATCCCTTCTCCTCCATTCTCCTCTCAGGATCTTGGGCACGCACGCACATGTGCCCGGCATGAGTTTAAGCCACCAGGTCCAGGACGCAAACTGCGGTCGACTACGTGGGAGTCCAGCGACATAGCCATTACGCTAACTGCTGGTCCCAGGTTTAGATCTTTGATCCACTTTGAGTTGATTTTTGTTAGTGGTGACAGGGGTTCAGATTCATCTTTCTGCAGGTGGATACCCAGAAACATTTCCAACACCATTTGCTAAAGAGGTTTCCCTTTTCCCAGTGGATTGACTGGTACCCTTTGTCATAGATAAATTGGCTGTATATTTTGGGGTTTATTTCTGGAGTCTCTACTCTGTTCCATTGGTCCTCATGTCTATTTTTGTGCCAATACCATGCTGGTTGGATTATCACAGCTTTGAAATATATTTTGGGTTCAGGGAGTGAGATGCCACATACTCCCATCTTCTTGCACAGGATGCCTTTAGCAAGATGGGGTCTTTTATGGTTCCAGACAAATTCCATGATTGTCTTTTCTAGATCTATAAAGAATGTCTCTTGTAATTTTATTGGGATTGCATTAAACATGTAAAGTAGACACTGATTTATCCAAGTATTTATTCTTACCAGTGTTTTATTGAGATAACAAGTTAAAGGCAATAAAATTTTTAACATTTTTTTAAGCAACATTTGTATGTTTGGAATAGTAAATACAGTTAGATATTGCAAATAATACTTTAGAAATTTAAATATTTGTGAAAGATTATGATATTGGATTTCTAATAGAAAACATAAACCATAGCAATCATGTCTTTCAGCACTAGATACTTATAATTTTATAGTTTCAGTAGAAAAAATAATACAAATTATTTTAATTTTGTCAGAGGACATGTATGCTCACTGGAGAGAGACACAGAGAGAGAAAGAGAGGGAATGTATAAAATCACCTCTCATAGCAAATGGTCATGTTGGAATCCCTTCTCCTCCATCTCTCCCTCCTTTGGGGACTTTGGGCACACAAACACACATGCACCCAGTTTGTTTGCAAAGCCACTGGGTCCAGGACTCGAACCACAAAGTCAGTCATGTGGGATCTAGCCACCTTAATCATCATGCCACTGGCTAGTCCTATATCATACTAATTTAAAATGAAATAGGTTTAAACATTGAAAGATATCTATACTTAGTAATGTGGTGATATGTCTATTCTCTTACATAAAACTATAAAAGTAAAATTCTGGTTATTGGATATTATATGATCCAATTTTTGTGAAAAAAATATATAACTGCATAGAAGTATAGATAATATATGTGATATTTTTATGTGCAGAAATAATGGGACCACACCATGGTAGTGTCATCCTGGTGTGTATGAACAGTTTTGACTTCTTAAATAATTCTCCTTTGATATGTATCACAAATACAGAATATTTTTGTTATCACAAACATGTAATACTATTGTCACTAGTGAAAAGAAATAAGGAAAATATGGGCAATTATAAAACAGAAGAAGTGGAAAGATCCAATATGCTCAACTTGTTTGTGCTTGGCTAAGTGCATCTGCTTCTTTTTCTTCTCTCTCTGTAGGCATAAATTCTAGTCATGACCTATAATATCAACCCAAATATAATTACAAATCTTAAAATTTTTAGTTCATTTATATTATTCAAAATGAACTTACTAAAGCTTCATAACTAATGTTTTATTTTTCCATTTTAAATAATTTAATGTCTAAAATTAGTTTTTAAAATATTCAATATACAGAGAATATATTATCTTCTCCTCTCTCAAACGTGATAAAATTTTTCGTTCAGCTTAGCTTCTCTGCAAAGCATTAATGAATTTCATTTTTGCCCTTTAGAAGAGCAGTTTGGGTCATGAATATTTTGGGAAATGGCTCAGCTGTTTAAATAACAATAATTGATTTTCCTGAGAAATTTTGCCTTCTGGAGTTTAACCATGCTCTAAGGCATATTTAATTTGTGGATTAGAGCTTTGAACAACACATTTGCCAGCACAATTACAGTGCGCTGCAGAAACTGTGTGCAAGGCAAAGAAAGAGAAGGTCAGCTCAAATGTTGCATGCAGTGTCAGTGAAGCAGGTGTGAAGGATATGTGATGAATGGCTAAGACACTGTTCACAAACTCGCTCATGTGTGTTTTGTATTTACTCATTTGAGAAATAGATATCACATGCCTACTGTGTTTCACACTCTCTACTAGACCCTAGTCTTACAGCTATGTGCCAATACAGACATGTCCTTTTCTCAAGGAACTATTAAGAATTAACCAAATAGAGAAGCTTTCTCACCTGACTACTATTTAACTAATATCTCTAATTCTCTGATACTCTCCTTTTTTAAATTTAATTTTATTTTTTTGAGAGATTTTCACTATAGGGCGTGTGCACTTGCCAGACAGAGAGAGACATAGAGACAGAAAGTGAGAAATCACCCCCCAGGGGGGATGCTCACGCCACAATCCTTTCTCCTCCATTCTCCTCTTGGAATCCTGGACATGCACGCACACGAGCCTGGTGTGAGTTTTAAGCCACTGGGTCCGGGATGCGAACCGCGGTCGACTACGTGGGAGTCCAGCAACATAGCCATTACGCTAACTGCTCGTTCCCTGTAAGATTTTTTTTAGAAGTGTGTACTTACCAAACAAAAAGAGACAGAGGGAAAGTGAGAAATCATCCCTCACAGGGTATGGCCACTGGGCAATCCCCTCCTCCATTCTTCTCTCAGGGCACACGTGCACATATGCCTGGTATGATTTTCAAGCTGCCAGATCCAGCACTTGAACCATATTAGGCTACATTGAAGTCCAATGCCTTAACCAGTACGCCACCTGCTGGTTGCTCTTTATTACTTTTTAAAACTTAGTAGTTGAGGGGGACCAGTAGTTAGCATAATGGCTATGTCGCTGAACTCCCATGTAGTCGACCACAGTTTGAGTCCTGGACATGGTGGCTTAAAACTCATGCCTGGCACTTGTGCTTGCATATCCAAGATCCGGAGAGGAGAATAGGGGAGAAGGGATTGCGACGTGGCCATCCTCCTGGGGAGTGATTTCTCGCTTTCTGTCTCTCTGTCTTTCTGGTGAGCGCACACGCCTTATAGCAAAAACCTCTCCAAAAATAAATAAATAAATAAATAAAGCTTACTAGCTGAGGTGCCAGCCATGGTGAACACTAGGTTGGAGGAGGTTACTCATTAATATGCCAACCTCCATTTGCTTCCTCCCCTGTATTGTGCACTTAGTTTAGTTTGTTCTTAAATCTATTTATGCCAGTTTTACTTGTTATTACAATTATGTAATTTAATTAGCTATAGTTTTAACAAACATAATATGAATGTGAAAGTAAGATTGTCCCTTTGAATTTTGTTTTATTATTATTTCAGAGGGTGCATTAATACATATGAGAGAGAGAAATGGAAGAGAGAGGAGAGAGAAAGCACCTCCTCCTCAGGGCCTAGTCACGTCACAGTCTTTTTCTTCCAGTTCCTAGCCCATCAGTATCCTGGGCGTGCAGGTGCACGATGACATGTAAGCTCTGCAGCCAGAACTTGAACTCTGGTCAGTTGTATGGGATCTGGTTTCCTTTGCATAGCACTTAATTCCTACGTTGCCAGGCTGACCCAGAGAGATGAGCACTCCGTAAAGGGTCTGGTCACACTGTGACTCCCTCCCTCTAGTCCTTCGGCCTATCAGATCCTGGACACTCAAGCAAGTATCTGACTTGTTTCAGACTAAGGAGGTCAAAGATTTAAACTCTGGTTACCATGCAGGATCTGGCTTCTCTTAAACAGCACATTACTGCTGCACCATAGAATTGCCCCCTTTGAAATCTAAGTGGAATGTTTTGAAAATTGATAAAAGGGAATTACTGGAAACAACCCGAAGATCTAGTATTCCAAGTCAGAGCTTTTGAGCAAATGACATTTGAGTCAAGATGTGTCAGATGTGAAGACCAACTAGGTAGAGGAAATACTAGGGGCGTGAGTGGAAGAAGCTTTGAAAAAAAAAAAAAAGGCATGTGAAGTGCTTTTATATAGTAAAAGTTCTATGACATTTTTGACAAAAAGGCTACAGAAGTAAGGAGAGGAAGAAGAGCAGTAAAATGATGTATTAGGATAGGAAGGGCCAGATCACACAATACTTTGAGAGCCACATTAAAGACTGGTCTTGACCTAAGTACACCAGAAAGCCTTTGAAGGGCACAAAATGTTATGACTGGACCTTCATATTAAAAAATTTTCTCTAGCTCTACAATGTACAACAGGCTGTGGGAAGAAATGATGAAGGTAGAGCAACAAGTTAGAAATTTGTTGGAGGAAGGACCAGCAATTAGTATAATGGCTATGTCACTTGACTCCCATGTAGTCGACCGTGGCTTGAGTCCCAGACCCAGCAGCTTAAACTCACGCCAGGCGAATGTGCATGCGTGCCCAAGATCCCGAGACGAGAATGGAGGAGAAGGGATTGCGGCATGTCCATCCCCTCAGGGGGTGATTTCTCACTTTCTGTTTCTCTCTGTCTTTCTGGTGAGGGCACGCACGCTATAGTAAAAACCTCTCAAAAAAAAAAAAATTGTTGGAGGGGACCAGGTAAAGGGTAGAAGACTTGGTTGGTAGTTATTGTGATCCATTGAGGTAGATGTATTCCATAGTCTTGAGAAATGAATAATTCATTCTTTATACCATATGCATACACATTTATCTCCCTCGCATGAAGTAATACAGTTATGGCACATTTTAAAACCAATATTCAGTCTTGTCACCATTATATGTAAATATGTGCTTCATAATTGAGCCATGTAACAGATCATATTTTTAATATAAATTTTTCCATGATGTTAATAATTTTTTTTGCTATTTTCTTAATTATTTTAAAACTAAAACTAATAAATTGTCATAATCTCTCTCAGAGCTATGGAAACTTCCTCAATCAGTTCAAACTATATCAGGTCCGATATCTTCTTTTGAGGATATCCCAACTGGTGCACTTCAGTCTGCCATAAATGCTTTCTAGTCTTGCAACACAGCTACTATATTCCTATCTCCCTTTACCTTCATTTTGGGAATTCCTTTTACCTTCGCCTTATGTAATTGCATCTGTGTTTTCTTCTTTTCTTGGTTAATTTTCTTGCTTTGTTTAGCCCCTGAAGGATGGGGTATAGGAAAGCATACTTGGGAAAACTTTGTATGCTAGAAGCTGGGACATCCATGTTCTTCTGTTCTTGGACACTGGGGAGCTTAGTTCTCGGCTCTTTGGACTCTGGAACTTAACTTCAGAGGTTGGCCCTCTCTCAAGGGTTCAAACTTGAATTGAATGACATCAATAGCTTCCCTGGTTCCCCAGCTTGAAACAGTAGATTGTGTCTTTGTGGCCTCCCTAATCAAGTGAGCCCAATTCTCATAATCTCCACTTCTATATCTGAATATATCCCATTTGTTCTGTTTCCTTGGAGAGTCTTGACTAATACATTTTTATTCCTACTTGTCTTAAAATAATGTACTTTGATATGGACATTTTAATTTCATATTCTAGATACCTCATAGTACCTCTCAACCTAGAAATGGCTGTCTATAAGTTCTAGAAATTTTATTTACTATTCTTTGTATATTTCTTCCTTTGGGTTTTTCTGGTGTCATCTTTTGAAACTCCTATAGATCATAAAGAGTAGTCTTTCTATTATAATTTAATTCACTTATTTTCTCATAGTTTTTCATCATCTCATTTTTTTTCCTTTTTGCTTTGTTTCCTGGGAGATTTACCCTATATTTTCTTCCATGTTTTATTAAATGTTAAATATCTTTATTATATTCTTAATTTCAAGGAACCCTGTTTTCCTACCTAAGTATATATTTTTTAAATATCAAGTATATATATTTTCTATGTTTTAGGCAATAATATATTATTTCTCTTATAATGTTAACTTTAAATATTTTTCTTTTATTCTTTCTCTTTCTTTTTTCCTTTCTTCTTTTTCTCTTCCTCCCTTCCCTTTTTTCCCTTCCTTCTTTTCTTTCTTCTTTCTTAAAATTTTCTTTTGTTCCCTGCATCAGCATTATCTCTGTTTTTTTGTTGTTGTTTATTTGTTTGTTATACAAATTACAGATCTTATGAATGTATGATGATACCTTAAAAACATTAATTATAATGAGTTAGAAACTAATTTATGACTTAGAAGCTCCCAGTTTTATGAAATTAGGACCTCTGGTCTGATGGGCTTATTTTAGGACTATAGCATGAGAGAAAAACCTTTGCATTGTGTAATTACAGATATATTTTTTTAGAGTCTGTCAGTTCTCACAGAAAGAATCTTCTATTTTTCCCCCCCAAGGGACTACAAAGGCGTGATTTAAACAAACGTGTGCCCACTCTTGTTGCAATTAGAGAAATACCTTAGAGTCAGAAATTTTAGCAAGCAGACTTCCCTTTACTCCCTCCTTTATGAGTATAATGTGTCTGCTTTTCTGTTCCAGTTTCTCCAGATAGTAAGTCATCTGTCTTCTTAGAATGGAAGAGTGGTGGTCATCCTTATGGCCGCAATAGGACTATGGTTCCCACTAGGCATTTTTGCTTTTCTCCAAAATAAGTAAATACTGTCTGTTATGACTATGTTTTAATAAAGACAAATATACCCTAGGCTGAACGATGCTCACATTTTCATTCTGATTGCAAAATAAATTAAATATTTTCGTGACCCATAGAAGTATCATAGGCTCTAAGCAGCATACCTGTCCTACCTATTAGTCCAGATCATCCATCCTAATTAACATATTTTTATTCAAGTTGCAAGCCAATTCCCAGTTCTCAACCCTACCACCACCCTTCTACCTTGGCAGATCTATGGTGCCTCCATTTCTTTCCACTTTTATATTAGCTTCATTATGAGGGCAGAGTATTCGCATTTCTCTGCTTTGAGAAGTCCTTACTTCTTGTTCATTAGCTTTCAAGTGTCTAAAATTTGATAGCATCTGTCATCTGCTGTTTCCTCCCCTTTTGTGATGTTTATTCATGTACCTTTATTCTAGTAAAAGTTGATTTAATGTGGGCCTGGAGATAAATGCCTTTGCATAATGCAAATTCTCCCTGAAAGTTAGCTATCTGCAGACAATGCCAGCGGAGCAATGCCCTCCAGGTTGTGTAACTTGGCAGTTTGAGAGTGTAAAAACATCTTTGAACATAACAAGAGAACAGAAGAGTCACTGTTTTGTGTACAAGCAGTGAGCTCAGCTTGTTTTTCAGTTTTACATTTTTTTTTAGAGAGAGTTTTTTGCTATAGGGCACATGTGCTCGCTGGAGAGACAGAAAGAGACAGAGAGACAGAAAGTGAGAAATCAACCCTCAGGGGGTATGGCCAGGCTGCAATTCCTTCTTCATTCTCCTCAGGATTTTGGGCATGCACGCACATGCACAGGCACCTGGTGAGTTTAAGCTACCTAATCACAGCGGCATAACTACTACGCCATCTGCTGGTCCTAACCTCAGTTTTACATCTTATCCCCACTTTCCTCCATGTCGAGAGCCTGTCCAGCATTCTGCCATGTAAATCTTCTCTAGTGGACGCTGTGGCTTCCTCTGCCCCTCGTCAGTCAGCATTCTCTCTTCTACTTTCTCTCCTGTAGAAATTTGTTAAAATCGCCTTTATTGATTGATAGTTTCCTCATTGCTTTCTTCATTATTGTAAAGGTATGCCTTTGTAAAATTTTTACGGTATGATTTTAATGGTTTCTTGGAAGGGAGATGAGATAAAAATCATATGTTCAGACACTCATTTTGTACTAGAAGCTCCTAAATAAAATTTTAAAGTAAGATCATTATGGGTGAAGAAAATAAATGTAATTAATAGTCTCAATGACCTCCAGAAAGGAAAAAAAAATACCTGAATCCTGGCATGCATGTGGTCTACACATAGAGAGAAATTAAATTTTCTCAGAATTTTGAAATGGATATAATCTCTTAGAATGAAACACATTGGAAACAGTTGGGGAAATTAAATTTTCTCAGAATTTTGAAATGAATTTAATCTCTGAGAATGAAACACATTGGAAACAGTTGTAATGATTAACTCTGAATAGAAATATGCTATTGCACCCTCATTCCGATGGAAAACAAATAAGGTAAAACACACACAATTACATGGAAAATAAAAACAAAGCCAATGGAAAAATTATATGATATAAAATAGTCGTATCTAATAGTCATATCATTGAGGAAGAAAAGTGCTTTCAAAGATTTTTACAGAGAGAAATTTGAATCAAGGAATTTGTACTATTCTTTTACCTCAAGAAGGAAAACAAAACAAAGCAAAATAAGTTATGTGTTAGAAGGAGATGTTAGTAAGCTTTAAATATAACATCATTAAACGTCCTTGAGAAAAGAAATTTATGGCACAAGAGTGAAATGTTTTTATAATTTTAAAATTGCTCAGAAACAACTTCCTAATGCTAAAGTGCTAAATTTAAGTAGAGGTAGAACATCTATCACAAATTATTTTTACTATTAGTGATAAATTATATTATGAATTATACTTTTTTCAAGAGAAATTTAAAACTGTAGAACCTATAAAGAGCTTATTTCCAGAGGGGAAAAAAATGACCACATAAAATGCTCATTTAAAACTAAAGAAGTAGAAAAAGAAAGAAGCAACACCTCTCCCCCAATGGAATGAAACAAAATCAGCTGCAAACACAGTGGACATTAATCTAACTACACGACTTTTCACTTTGGGACCAAACTGAGGTCGTGTGTTCTGCTGACATTGTGCTTTACAGCTGGGATTGCATGAGGTGCTTGGCTCTAACTCTCAGTCCAACCTAAAAGGCTGGTGGCATGTACCTATAATCCCAGCAACTTGAGAGTCTGTGGCAGGAGAATCGTAACACAGTAATAATCTGGGAGGAAAAAAAAGAGAAAAGAAGAGATGGTCAGAATGGATGACAGAAAGAATACAACCATATGTGTCTAAAAGAAACTGACTTTAAATATAAACCTTCAAATAGGCTAAAGGACAAAGGTTAGAGAAAGACAGTCCATGCTAATGTTAATCAAAATAAAGCAGAAGGGAATCCACGGGAAAAACAAACAAACAAACAAACAGAAAACAGCTTATATAATAACACAAAAATAAAAATGAAGAGTTATCTGCTGATGATAATGTATATGATAATGTCTTTGACTTGACTAATTTACTGCATTTGTACTAGGAGAAATCATTTTATACACTGGAAAGATGTACAGTAATTAAATGTAAATTAAAATAAATAAAGTGGCATCTTAAAAAAAGGGAGAACATTGGGACCAGCAGCTGGTGTAATGGCTATGTCACTGGACTCCCATGTAGTTGACTGCAGTTTGAGTCCCAGACCTGGTGGCTTAAACTCACGCTGGGTGCATGTGCATACATGCCCAAGATCCCTAGAGGAGAATGGAGGAGAAGGGATTGAGGCATGGCCATCCCCCTTAGGAAGTGATTTCTCACTTTCTGTCTCTCTGTCTCTTTCTTTCTTGTGAACATAAGTGCCCTATAGAAAAATCTCTCCAAAAAAGGGGGGGGGGGCAGAACAAAGAAAATTATTAGACATAGAGAGACATTATATAGAAGTAAAGCAGTTAATTCTCCAAGAAGATAAAGCAATACCAAACACATAAACCTAAGAAAAGAGCCAAAGCACATGAGCCAAAATTGAGACTTGAAAAGACAACTTCACTATTACAGCTAGAGACTTAAACACCTTCTTTTAATAACTGATAGATCAAGCAAGAAGGGGGAAATAAAAAGCATAAAAGTGACCTCAAGTTCAACATAAATCAATTTTCTCTCATTACATATATAGAAGACACCATCCGTAGAATCCATTGACAGAATACAACAGTGGGACATACTTTCTGTTCAAGCTCATGAGAGCTTTCACTATTGTAGATCTCATGCTATGTCATAAATCATACTTTTACAAATTTAAGGTAATATCAATTATACAAAAAAAAACAAGTCTATTCTTAATTGTCTTAGCTCAGGTTACTATAAGAAATTATCATAAGTTAAGTGGTTTAAACAGTAAATACTTATTTCATACAGTTTTGGAGGCTATGAAGTCCAAGATCAAGAAGCTGGAATATCTGGTGACTAGTGAGAGACCATTTCCCAATTTACAGAAAGCTGTTTTGTCATTATGTCCCCCCATGGTGAAAAGAAACCTACACAGATCACTGGCATCTTCTTCTAAAGCACTGATTCTATTCATGAAGGTTCCCTACTTCATGACCTAATTATCTAACAAAAGTCCTCATGCTATCACACTGGACTCAGAACTCAACATATGAATTTAAGGGGGATACAAAATTCAGTTAATTTAATCAGTTATTCCCTTTCCTGCAGTTGATCCATACATAGAGATCAATTGTTCAAGAATTTAGAAATAAATCTAGTCTCAGGGAATAAAATATATTACAAAAGGTCTAGTTAAAAGGGATGGACAGTGATGCAGTGGTAAAATATGATGCTCTAAAGGCTGACCCACATGGAAATGTTCTAGGTTCGTTACAGAGACCTCCTTGAGTAAGCTGGTACATATATTCACATGATTCAGGGCTAGTAAAGGCTGGTGGTGGATTGCTATATCAAGACCAAGTGCTGTCTTTCTGTTTCTGTTTCTCTCTCTCTTTCTCTATCATTCATTGAAGAAATAAATAAATAAATAAACGTAAGAAAAAGAAACACTGTAGTGAGAATGAAGACTATGTGGGGCTAAGTTAGAAACAGTAACAAAATGATGGCTGAAAGAAATTCTCAATTATTTTAAAATTAAAATACTCCTAAGAAACCCTTGAGTAAATAAAGATTATCAAGAAAAATTTTTTAAAAATGCCTAACTATATGTAAGAACAAACTTCTCAGGGAAAATTAGGACTAAAACAAAAAGAAAGAAAGTAATTAGAAATAGATAAGAAATCAATGCAATTTAAAGTAAAAAATAAAACAAACAAAAAAACACAAAGTCTACTATTTTTGGAGAAGATCATGAAAACTGATTCACTTTGATAAACACTAAAGAACAGAGAAAATATAAAGTTCCAGTATCAGAAATGAGGGGAAGGGGAAAAAGTCATGATTACTTTTGTCTGGTGAATCACATATATTTGGGTTTAGAAATAAACACATTAATTATTATTTCTGCAGAATTGGTTATTTGAGTGAACAATAATGATGATCATGAAGAGACCAGAGAGGAACTGAAGATTTTCCAAGGGGTTATTTCAAGCCCAGTTCCTGATAACAGTACAGTGGGCCTTTTGAGCCCCCTCCAGCCTCAAGCTTCTCCTCAGGGGAGATTTTTGAGCGCCCAGGGGATGAAGACATCAAGGATCTTGAAAAACAACCAAGTGACTTTGTATATTGGAATAAGCACCAAATGGAAAGACCTTCTACAACCCTGATGGAAAGAACCCTACCAGGTTTGTAAATATTATCTCTGTGGTTTTTAAACCTGTGGAATTATTCACAAATACTTGTTCTGATCTTGGTTCTGTGAGAAAACATGATGAAAACCTACAAAAACACTAGGAGAAGAGTTCCTATTTTATGAAAGTTGGCTGTGAGATTTTTTTGCAATACAGAGTTTACTTATGGAAGTAGAACATAGAATCAGACGAGGTCATGCTCGTTTGGCAACGGAAGTAGAACATAGAATCAGTCGAGGTCATGCTCACTTGGCATTATCTCAGAATCAGCAGTACTCTGGAGCAGCTGGCTCCACAGGCAAAAATGAAGAAAAAATTCAAGTTCTGACAATAAAAAAAAAAAAAAAATTCAATGTACTCCTGCAGCATACTGAAGAATTAGAATCTGAAGGAAAGGTAGAAGTCTAGGAAATGATAAAATTAGTAGAACAGTTAAAAGAAAGAGAATTGCTTAAATCTACAACCTAAACAATTGAAAATTGTGCTGCCTAAGAAAAACAAATGGAAATCTGTGTAGTGTGTGGAGCCTTTTTGATAGCGGGAGATGCACAATTTCAGGTTGTTGACCATTTTATGGGAAAACAAACAAACAAAAAAAAACAAAACACCTGGATTATGCCAAAATTAAAGCCATTATAGAAGAATTGAAAGAGAAGTTAATAAAAAGAACTGAAGAACATAATCATGATGAACACCTAAAGAAGCAAGAAAGGGAAGAAAGAGAAACAGCAGGAGAGATAAAGAGAAGAAAGAGAAAGGAAAAGACACAAAAAATAGGAAGAAAGAGAAAAAGAAAGGGCTTGAGACAAAGAAGAAAGAGCAGTCGTTCATGAAGCAGGCACTCAAGCTGAACATCTGACCAAAGGGGCAGCAGATCTCAGGACCACACAGTAGAGGAACAAGGTGAAGCAGAAGTAGAGGTTGAAGAAGAAGCAGAAGCCATGACAGGTTAGAAAGAAAGCATAGATCTCACAACTGGGATCAAAGGTCAAAAAGCTGAAATCGAAAATCATATAAACACACACAAGATCCTAAGTTGGGACAAGGAACAAGATAGAAAATCCAAGGGGAAAGAAAAGAGATTTGATGAAAAAAAAAAAAAAAAAAGTAGTGTCAAGTCCAGTAGTCTAGAAAAACAGTGAAGACATAAACATTGAATTGAAAGAAAGTGATACAACAAATAAGGTCAATGGGGCCAGTGAAGACATTAAATCCAAAGGTGACACTCAATCCAATTAAAACCAACCTGATAAAACCTCAGATCAGACAAAGGAGTACTTTTCAAAGATTTTTGAAGAGGTACTGAAAATGGCACATAGTGAAGACCAACATTAAAGTGAGGTGAAAGTATAGCAGCTAAGAAACGATATGAAGTTCAGATAGTAATTTTTTTTTTTTTGGAGAGGTTTTTGCTATACGGCGCATGCACTCGCCAGAAAGACGGAGAGAGACAGAGAGATAGAAAGCGAGAAATCACCCCCCAGGGGGGATGGCCACGTCACAATCCCTTCTCCTCCATTCTCCTCTCGGGACCTTGGGCACACACGCACACGGGCCTAGTGTGAGTTTTAAGCCACTGGGTCCGGGACGCGAACTGTGGTTGATTACATGGGAGTCCAGCAACATAGCCATTACACTAACTGCTAGTCCCAGATAGTAATTTTTTTTATTAAAAACTAATTCAGGACTGATATGATCCACCACATTTCAGAACATGTGTTAATAGCATATATGACTGAAAACTTATGGTCTGCATCATATATTTTTTTAAGACTTAAGACTTTTTACGAGATACTACCTAAATGTGTGTCTTGCTGAGTATTTAATTGAAAGCTTTCTTTCTTTGACTTTGAAAACAGAATTAAACATTAGTATTTGAGTAAATCAGACAAAATGAGATCCAATTTTTTAAAAAAAAAAGGTTTTTGCTATTCTTTTTGCTATTGCTGCCACAATCCCTTCTCCTCCATTCTCCTCTCGGGATCTTCCACACGTACTCATGCCCAGCGTGAGTTTAACCACGGTCGACTCCATGGGAGTCCAGCGACATAGCCTTTACACTAACTGCTGGTCCCCCATTTTTACAGCTCTGCTATACTGAGCCTGTGGATTTAGAAGTAAAAATAAAGCATATCTGACTTTCTGCTATAAGTTGATTGTCTCTGTCATTAAAAATTTTAATAATATTTTTCTAATAATATTATTGACTCTGGAAAATAAAAGAAATGAGGAAAGCCCTTCCCATTGATTGTATGGACATAAAAACATCATGAAATAATACTTGCTACAAATAACGTTAGATGCACAAATTAGATTTCTTAGACAAAATGGACTAATTTATTGAAAGACAGAAAACTACCAGAAGTCACAAAATAAGAAGTAGATTAAAGGAACAGATCTAAATTTACAAATTAAATTGATTCAATAATGGCTATTACTCCAAAAAAGAAAGCTTCAGGTCCAGGGTTTCACTAGTATATTCTAGCCAACATTTAAAGAATAAATAGTATGCACTATCCATATCCGGAAGTAGAATCAGAGATAACACTTTGCAACTCTATGAGGCCAGGAACATTTTAGCAACACAACCAGATGAAAACATTATAAGGAAACTACAAACCAGTATCTCTCATGAACATGAAAGCAACAATATTCAACGATATGTTAGCAAATTGAATAAGACAATGTATAAAAAAGTACACAGCACAACCAAGTGGGCTTTATTGAAGATATGTAAGACAGGTTTAGTATTTGAACATTGATCAATGTAATCCACCAGATCATAAGACCATAAAAATATGGTCACATGAGCATATCAATTGACATAGAAAAATTAATTTAAAAATCCATCAGCCATACATAAATAAAAAAAAAACATGAAGTGTAAGAGAACTTTCTTAACTTGAAAAAAATGAATACTTAATAGTGAGAGGCAGCATATAAGGACACATTTTCTAATTATCTCTACTAAACATCAAATATGTGTTCAATATTTTGACAAATAAACCTTTTTTAAAGGTTTTTACCATAGGGTGCATTTATTTGTGAAAGAGAGAGAAATAGTGAGAGATAAAGTGAGAAATCACCCCCTAAGGGGAATGGCCCTGCCACAATCCTTTCTCCTCCATTATCCTCCTGGGATTTTTGACACACACACACACACACACACACACACACATACACACACTGCATGATTTTCAAGCCACTAGATCCAGGATTTAAACTGCTGTCAACCATGTGGGAATGCAGTGCCTTAACCACTACTCCACCTGCTGGCCCCTGACAAATGTACTTTATTAGCTAAAGTGTGCATATAGAATCTGGGTGTGGGAAGTGTGAGAATGTCCTGTACAATTTTCACAATTCTCTTGCAATTTCCAACTATTTTAAAACAAAAAGTTTATTTAAAAAAGTAAAAACAAGTAATTTGTGAAGATGATTACTTGAGTATTTATAACACTGTTTTCTGTGTTTATGAGTAAATATGAATAAATGGTGGTTATGAAAGAATATGAACAAATTTAGAAAACCATCATAGAGAAGTTCAGAGAATGAAAGAAAGCACTATCAAACTTCTTATCTTGTAGAATTTAGACAGAATTGACTTACACATGTGTACATAGATGATAGATTAGATAGCTAGATGATAGACAAAGTTGAAAGTGTAGTTACATTATAATGCATATATCTGTGTGTATATACATATATATATATATATGTGTAATATATATAGAGAGAGAGAGAGAGAGAGAGAGAGTTCTATACAATTTTACATCTTTTATGTCTATATAATCACTACCTTGGAGTAAAGTAAGGAAAAATAACATGTTGCTACTGCTTATTTTTGCCACTTTAAGAATGGTTAAAGTTAGGGACCAGCAAATGGCCTAATGTCTATGTTGTTGTACTGCCGTGTAATTGGCCATGGTTTGAGTCAGAGATCTAGCAGCTTAAAACTCATACTGGGCACTTGTGTGTGCATGCCTCAAGAAACATCAAGAGGAGAATGGAGGAGAAGGGATTGCAGTGTGGCCATCCTCCCTGAGGGATGATGTCTTCTCACTTTCTGTCTCTCTCTGTTTCTCTGGTGAGTACACACCCTATAGCAAAAATCCCTCTTCAAAAAAAAAAAAGAATGCTTAAAATCAGTTTTCTTTATTGATTCAGGGAACATCTTATTAATAGTCTCGTATATGGCAGAAGTAAAGCATTATTGGTTACTTTATAAATGAATAACCAAACTTGAAGGCTGAGACTAGTCCTGAATCTAATGATTCCAGCCTCTTTCAAGTGTGTGTGTGTGTGTGTGTGTGTGTGTGTGTGTGTGTGTGTGGCTAGAGAAGGGTGAAAATTCAGCAGAAGATAAATGTAGAGCAGGTCTTTTCATTCTTTCTGTTTGCACAAATCTGAGTTTAGGGATTGTGTTTGTATCTAACCTAAGTGGTCTAAAATCCATCTTGTAAAGCATTGCTGGCAATTGCTGTCTTCCGTATTTCTAGCTCCTCAGGAACAAGCCCACTCTGATCCCAGCTCACAGTGTGTGACCTTAGTCTCTGGGTTCAGTCAATACCACATTCTCTAGCTCAGGGGTAGAATGACTTCCTGCTATGACTTATTTCTGGGTTAATTTAATGATCCCATGGGTGCTTATGTCACCTATGCAGCTAGTTTTCTGTACTTAAAATCTCTGTTTTAAATACCTAACAATTGTTCCTATTTCCCTTATTAGAGCCTGATAAATTATAGAGATTAATTCTGAATATTATTGAATTTTTGCATGTTCATTGACTTCATTCCCTGCTGCTTAAGCGTACTTGACCTTTAAGACTATAATTTAGAGAACTGACAACCAGTGGCAACACCAGTGGAACAACAGATTTACTGGTGCAGCAAAATAAGAAATGCACTGGACTTAAAAGATGTTACAGAGAATACTACCCAGGAGCCATGGGTCATAGAGAAGTATGTTGAGGGGCCAGCAGGTGGTGTGGTGGTTAAGGAGCTGGACTCCCACATGAACAACCAGTTTAAATCTTGGACCTGGTGGCTTGAAAATCTTACCAGGTGCGTGTGCACATGTGTGTCCAAAATCCCAGGAGGAGAATGGAGGAGAAGAGATTGTGACATGGCCATCCCCTCTAGGGGTGTGATTTCTCATTTTAACTCTCTCCATCTTTCTCTGTCTCTCTCTGGAGAGTGCATGCACCCTATAGCAAAAACATTAAAAAAAAAAAAGAAAGAAAGAAGTATGTTGATAAATGTCCTGAGTTCTTGCCTATTTTGATATCTGGATAAGGCATTTAATGTATTAAATTGCTTCTTTTAGAATTTTGGTTGTCATTACTTTCTAATTCCCCTATTCATTTGAGTGATCAAATAATAATAATAATAATAATAAACAACTTACTGGGACCAGCAGTTGGTATAATGGCTATTCCACAGGAATCTCATGTAGTGGATCATGGTTTGAGTCCTGGACCCGGTGGCTTAAACTCATGCCGGGTGCATGTGCGTGCATGCCCAAGATCCTGAGAGGAGAATGGAGGAGACAAAATTGTGACATGGCCATCTCCCCCTGGGGTGGGGGGGGCACTTCTTGCTTTCTGCCTCTGTCTCTCTGTCTTTCTGGTGAGCACATGTGCCCTATAGCAAAAACTTCTCAAAAAAAAAAAAAAAAAGAAAAAGAAAAAGAAAAAGAAAAAAACTTATCAAGTAAATTAGGAAAATTGCAACCCAGGATTAGCTAAATCACTTGCCATTTCTGTTAGTCAAGATTACATTCTGGGGCAAGCAGGTGGCATAGGGGTTAGGGTGTTGGACTCCTACATGGCTGGTTGTGGTTCAATTCTGGGATCTGAGAGCTGAAATTCACACCAGGCATGTGTATGTGCACACACACCCCCAAAATCTTGAGAAAAAAATGAAGGGATTGTGATATGGCCATCCCCCCACCGGGGCGGCGATTTCTTACTTTCTCTCTGAGTGTCTAGGAAGTGCATGTTCCTTATAGCAAAAATCTCTTTAAAACAAAAGAAAGACTACATTCCCATTATCTGCAATTCTTCATAATAAGCCAATGATTTGAACAAAACTATATAATTTCTGACATGTTTCTTACCTCATTTTGATCTTTAGTTTCTTTCTATATAAGATAATAATTATTATGAGCTATTTACTGGGTAAAATAAAAATTTTGAATAAGATAGCATATAGATTCCTTTCTTCACTTAAAAAATTTACTGCAATGTGAAGCAGTTGGTAAGAACTCGATAAATTTTAATCATTCTTTGATAGTATTTTCTGAGGAGGTAATTATTCCTTTTAACTTCATAAGATGCTTCAGAAATGACTGCTGGAAAAGGATAACAAGCATGTGTGAAAGATTAGAATATATTGCACAAGATTCAAACCATATAAAGGTGAACACGTTTCACATATTTGAAGTGGGAAGAAGGGGCGATCAACAAGTGGCATGGTGGTTAAGGGCTCTGGACTCCCACATGGCCAATTGTGGTTCGAGTCTCAGACCTGGCAGCTTACTCTCTCTTCCTCTCTCTCTCTCTCCTTTCTCTCTCTCTCTCTCTCTCCTTTATCTCTCTCTCTTTCCCCTCTGGTCAAATTAAAATAAATAAATGAATAGATAGGTAGATAATAAAGTTAAATAAAATAATTCTTAAAAAATAGAAGTGGGATGAAGGAATGGTTAAGAATAGTTCCAGAGATCTGATGTACACCATTGTGTCTATGGTTAACAATATGGTATTATATACTTACCATTTTAAGAGGCTAGATCCCATGTTAAGCATTCTGACTAACACACATGCACACACAGGAACACAAGGCAACTTTTGGAAGTGATGAATATGTTCACTAACTTGACTGTGGTAAGTGTATGCATAAGTCCAAAGCACACTAAATTATATGCATTAAACATGCATTTTTATTTTTTGACATTAGTTGTAGTCCAATAAAGCTGCTGCAGAAAAGAATTGCTGTGAGGGCATCTCCACTTTAGTGCTGTTACAAAATCACCATCATGACCAACAGGCAGGAGAAATAGCAAGGCTGCATTGCTTTTCTTTTTTTCTTTCCTGCCAGTCTACCCAGACCTCTTTTAGTAATGTTTTTGTGACTAAACACAATAAACAGATTTAATTTGACATTATGAAAGAACAGCTTCTATTTAAAATAGCTTCTATTTTGAAGCTTTATATTTGCTTATTAAATGTACATGAATAGAATAAAGTAATTCATAGCACTGTACTTAGAGAGCCATTTTAATAATTTAGTGTTTTAGTTTATAAATAGTTTTAATCTTCTAAACATCTAATCCAGATGTCCTTGACTACCATAACAAATAATGGTACAATTTTTCTCTTTCTTTAAACTTTCTATTGAAATATAGTATATATAAAGAAGAGTGTATATTCACTGTGACAGATCAATGAATTTTTACAAAGTGAAACTATAGCCAGAAATCATGGAATTAAACAGAATAGTAGCAGAACCACCCCAGAAACCCACTACTCCTCACTCCTCTCACACAGAGAAGCACACTGTAATTTCTAACAGCACTGATTGCTTTGCTTATTTTTTTACTTTAAATGTATGGGATTTTAACATGGATTCTTGTATTTGGCTTTTTTCATTCAGCATTAAGTTGGTGAAATTTATTTATATTGTTGCAAGTAATTGTTGATTATTCACTCTCATTACTACATTCAGTTGTGTGAATACACAAGAGCTATTGCGTTGTCAGAAAAATCATGACTTTTTTTCTGTTTTTCTATGAAAAAATGTGTCATGATTTTCTGACAATCCAGTATTTTACAAATTCTATTATTAATTTATATTATTGACTTGGCTAATTTGCAGGTTTGTGTTACTTCAAGAATTTTTTTTTTAAATAGATTTTTGCTATAGGGCAGGTGTACTCACTGACAGAAAGCAAGAATAACCCCCTGGGGGGATGCCCATGCCACTATCCCTTCTCCTCCATTTTTCTCCCTAGTTCTTAAGCATGTACATACATGAGCCCTGTGTGAGTTTAAGACACCAGGTCCAGGACTCAAATCATGGTTGAATATGTGGGAGTCTAGCAATGTAGCCATTACACCATCTTCTGGGCCCTCAAGCAATTTTTTTATAAACCTTACAGTACACATCTTTAATAAATATCTTAGACATTATCACCGTAATTCCTTCATTAACTATATTATCAGAACCATATTACCAGATTACATTTAAAAACATATCCCTTACTGAGTATCTCACATATTCCATCAGCTTCAATAACCTTGGATAACTTACAGAATTATAATTTATGGTTCAAATATATAAGAATGTCAAGGATCTTTTTATATAAGGTAAAATTAAAAAGAATTCACTTCCTCTCCCAGTAAGCTTGGGTTACAAGATATCACATGACTTGTTCCATGAAGCCCCAGAAATCTTACTGTTAGTTACTTGTGAGGATGAAGTGACAGGTTTTTGGTTATTTACATGCTCAGCTTTAGAAGATATTGCCAAACAATTGTCCAATATGGCATACCAGCTTACACCCTCACCAGGAATTTTGGTTTTGATATCCTGTCAACACTTCATATTATTTTTTGTTTCTTTTCAGCTATTCTGATGGGTGTATATTGGTATCAGAGTGTGGTTTAAATTTACAGTTCTTTGATGACTAATAGAGAAAAACATACCACTTTTTCCTAATTTATATTGGTCATGTGGACATCCTCTTTTGTGAAGGATCTATTCAAACTTTTTGCCCATTTTTTTTTCTCTTGAGCTGTCTTTCTTTTTCAACTGAAATATTTCATAAGTAATATATATTTGTGTGTGCCTTATGTATTTTGGATATTAGTTTTTATTAGATTGATGTTTAATCCTATTTTGTAGGTTGTCTTTTTACTTTCTTAAGGATATTTTCTGACAAACACATATTTTAGTTTCAATCTAGAGTAACTTATCTATATTTCAAACATTTTTTGTCTCCCATCTTTTTCTGCTTCAAGGTCATAAAGATGCTTTATCTCCTTTTAGACTATATAAGTACTCCAGATACATTTAATCACCGTACATCTTTACAGAGTGCAATATGGTTTTTCCCAACACGATTACAGTACACATAATTCAAGAGAAAGACATTACCATATACATTATCATCAGCAAGTAACTTCTCATTTTTGTGTCAATTAAATGTATTTTAATGTTTCTTTGCTTTTCCATTTTCGCCTCCCTTCTTCCCCATTTTCGCCTCTCTTCTTCCCCATTTTCGCCTCCCTTCTTCCCCATTTTCGCCTCCCTTATTCCTCTTATCACCCCTTACTACCTCTGCTAGCTACAGTTGCCCTCCCTCCTGTTGTACCTTTTGATCTTTCCATTTCTGCTACAGAGCACACTTGGTGTATTCTGACAGACACATACAAGGCCTGTCTTTCACAGTCCGGCTTGCTTCGCTTCACTTAGCATTAAGTCTTCCATATTAATACTTTAAAAAAATGATATACAATCCATTTGGAACTGATGTTTGTGCATGGTGTAATATTTTGTCCTGTGTGGCTCAGGACTCAGAAAACATCATGTGAAAATGTGGCTGTATGAGAGCTCTGCAGTCTGTCATTTGTCACTCCAACCCTAAATGCTGATATCATTTTGCTCATTCCCCTAAAGCCTGAACTTCAACTTACACCTAGACATGGTGACAATTCTCAGCTCATTTAGAACTAGTCCTTCTCCTCTTCTGGTATTTTGGTTCATCTAGGCGTCATTCCTTTTTTAACTCTAGGATGCTATCTTTTTATTTATGTCTAGTCTGTGTCTGTTACTATGTATAGTTTTGTATTGATATCTATTTACATTTATATTTATTTTTATTTGTAATGTATCTTGTGTTTTAAGTTATAGTACATGTACTTGTACCACTGTGGAGAGCAATTTGGAGATTCCTCAAAATTTACAAATAGAACTGCCATATGATCCAGCAATCCCATTTCTTGGCATCTACCCAAAGGACTGAAGAATTTCTCATTGGAAAAGTGCTTGCACATCGATGTTTATTGTGGCACTTTTCATGATTGCTAAGACATGGAATCAACCCAAATGCTCCCGTACGGATGAATGGATTGAAAAACTGTGGCATGTATACTCTATGGAATACTATTCAGCCATTAAGAACAACAAAACCCTGACTTTTGACAGAAAGTGGAAGAATATGGAAGATTTACTGCTGAGTGAAGCAAACCAGGCTATGAAGGAGAGACACTGTATGTCCCCACTTAATATATACCGAATGTCCGCACTCTATAACTGAAACTGATGGGCTAATGGATGTACAAACAGAAGAGGTGGATGTGAATGCCAGATGTGGTGTGTGTGGAGGAGTGGGGCCTGGAGAAGAACATTTGGAGGAGGGATATGGAGACAGCATTGTTGAGACAGGGAGGTAGTGTTGCTATATTTTGATCAACTAGACCGGGGAGAAATGTTCATATATTTAAATGATCACCTTGTAAGCTAAATAATGTAATTGAATGTATTTAAAAAATGTAAATAAAAATTTAAAAATAAAATAAAAAAAAGATATAGTACATGTACTTGAAAAAATCATGCTTTCTTTTTATTTCAAAGTTACTAGAGCCATTGTCTCCAGAAGCCCTTTATTAACCATATTACCAGAATCATAGTTTCCCAGATCACATAAAAAAGAAATCCTCACTGAGTGACTCACATGCACCACCAACTTCAATAACCTTGGATAAACTTACAGATTGACACTTTATGGTTCAAATCTATATGAATGTTAGGGATCTTTGTACATAAGATAAAATTAACTTCTGAAGATGATCCTCTTTCTCTCCCAATTGGTTGGGCCTATGAGATGTTATATGATCTGCTCCATGACGTCCTAGAGGTCAATTTGATACATACACCTGAGACAGAGATGATTTTTGTGTTGGTTTGATTTTTCCCAAAGGAGAACCTAGACAAGGGCTGTGCATAGATAATTTAGTTATGAGGTGAATGTAGAAATCCAAAGCAAGAAAGGAGACTCTTTTTTTTTTTTTGAGAGAGATTTTCGCTATAGGGCGCGTGCGCTCGCCAGACAGACAGAGAGAGACACAGAGACAGAAAGCGAGAAATCACCCCCCAGGGGGGATGGTCACGCCGCAATCCCTTCTCGTCCAGCGACATAGCCATTACGCTAACTGCTGGTTCCCAAGAAAGGAGACTCTTGAGGCAAGAAAGGGTGAAAAGACATTGAAGGGTGCTTTAATGTGTTTGTTACTACTCTGGCCAATTAGTATTTAATCCACTATGTGTATATGTATACACATACATATGATGAAGACTATGTCTGGCTCTTCGTGAGCCCCTGGGACTTTTAACTCTTTTATAATTTCAGGGTGTGCTTTATTGCAGCTGATCAAGCTTCCATAGCTCTTGAAGGAACCTTTAAAAAGAGAAGAGAGATGGGAGCTGGCAGGTGGAGTAGTGGTTAAGGATGCAGGACTCCCATATGGCCATGGTTTGAGTCCTGGACCTGGTGGCTTGCTTTTTCACTTTCCTTCTCTCTTTCTCACAGTTCAAGTTCAAAACCTGGCAGCTTTCTCTCTCTCTCTCTTGCTCTGTCCCTCTTTGGTCAAATTAAAACAAATGAATAAGTAAATAAAGTTAAATAAAATAATTCTTTTAAAAAAAAAGAGAAGAGAGACATTGGCATTTGAGATAGGATTCTGTCAGTATGCCAGAAATTGGAAGTATGAAGCTCTGAATCAGTCCTTACAATAGCTGTAGTAAAAACTATAATAGTCATTTTATATATAGAAAAAAAAACTGTAGCTGAAAAATACTAACTTTCTTAAAGTTATTTATCTAGTAAGTAAGCTAGAATTTGTACAATATATGTATCTATCATATATTTGGCACAAGACACAAATTCTTCCCTTCCTTAAATTTAACATCTATTATAAATGCATTTTGTCATTTGATATTACATATGTTTTATCTTAATTACTCATAGATATATGGATATTTGGGTATATGTAGATTCTATATCTATTTAATAATTTGCTAGACTGAAACTAAATTTTAGTTAAGCAACTAAAATTACACGAATAGTAGGATAAAAGAAATTAAGTGTAAGTATCCAAATGAGAGAGAAATCTTTTTCTTAGCACTCACACTTAGAGGATTTAGGGAGAATTATGCATTTAAAAAAAATTCAACTTCTCTTGTTTTGAACTATTACTGCATGAAAAAACACTAAAGAAATAAGTCCAAAGCAAAACATTAAATTTATTATTGTAACATTATGATCCTTATATCGAATATTTATCTTCTTAGTCAATTAAGAGTGTATGTTTTCATAAATTCTACTAGTAATATATTCAAAAGGTTTTTGAGAAAAATTTATTTGTACAATTATTTCTTAATGCATATTATCAGCTACAAATTGTTTGTGATAACATTATCATATAATTTTTCTTGAAATATGGTAGAGCTATTAAGTGAATGATAAAATCTGTAATGATAAAATATATGGTGAAATTCAACATATTGGATAAGATTTTTAACCATTTTTGCTATAATATACGCAAGGTATTATCTATGCAATTCTAAAACTTACATAACAGACTTCTTAAGAATATATCAAATTAGGGGATTAGCAGATGGCATAATGGTTACATTGCTGAACTCCCATGTAGTCAATTGCGTTTCTAGTCCCTGACCAGGTGGCTTAAAACTCATGCCAGGCACCTCTTCGTGTGTGCCTAAAATCCTATGAGGAGGGACCAGCAGTTAGCTTAATGGCCATGTCTCTGGACTCCCATGTAGTCGACTGCAGTTCGCGTCCTGGACCCGGTGGCTTAAACTCACGCCGGGCGCGTGTGCATGTGTGTCCAAGATCCTGAGAGGAGAATGGAAAAGGGATTGTGGCGTGACCATCCCCCCTGGGGGGGTAATTTCTCACTTTCTATCTCTCTGTCTCTCTCTCTCTGTCTGGTGAGTGCATGTCCCCTATAGCAAAAACTTCTAAAAAAAAAAGAAAAAAAAAATCCTATGAGGAGAATGAAGGAGAAGGAATTGCAGTGTGCCCATATCCTCATAATTGTGATTTCTCACTTTCTGTTTCTCTGTCTCTCTCTGTCTCTCTAGCAAGCATACATGCCCAATAGCAAAAATCTCTCTCTCTCTCTCAAAAAAAGGAATATATCAAATTATGTGAGTTGCTTCTAAATCATGTCATTTGCTTCTAGCTCTCTCTGTCCCTGAATCTCCCTTCTCTGCTTGTATTAGTAGTGTCATAGTTGCCTTGGGACCTATTTCCCAGAGACATTCTGGATAGAAAGGAACAGAAATAAATTAGAAAGTTAAGCTGCTATCCAGAAAGGGGCCTTCTCCATGCCTTTCAAAGGAGGATTGATGAAAGCAGAAGAGAAGAACTTTTATCTCTCCACCTTCTAGTAATCAAAATATTTTCTCTTGCCTGAGAGGTCCTGTGTTTGGGACTCCTTTTTATTTGCAAATGTCATCGAACATTTTAATTCCAATTCATCTGTTGAGTGGCTTGGACAATAGCCGTCTGTTGAGGCTTGGGTAGCAACTAACATCTGCTAGTTGCTTGTGCCTACTCTGCCAGAGAGACATTTTTGGTCTGCGTGTGCTCACCAGCTGCAATAGAGAAGCATCAGTCTGATGAAAAATTGAGGCAGGTTATCAGGTGTTCCCTAAACTTCTACTTGAAGCAAGGAAATTAAACTAGACTGATAGAAATATGGACCTATTAGTTCTTGTATTTATGTGCTAATATAGCCAAAGTATATGTGTAGGAATATATAGCCTTTACACTTCCTGGAGCTGGGGAATACTGGACTAAAGAGAAAAAACCATATGGCTAAATACTTCTCATTTTTCTGATATGTTAACCGTGATTATTTTTGTGGAAAACAGTCACGAAACTATGAAAGTCACAACAAACATTTCCCAATCTGAACTCTTCTCCCTCTGGGAACAAAAATCTTTCCTAATATTGCAGAAATTACATACTTCCCCTCCACAAGAAGCCAAATGCCAAGAATCAGAAAATGTAACTCTTTGTCCATAACATCTAAGAAGCCAAGGATTACCATATTGTAAATAATGCAACTTCCAATTCCTGGAAACTGAATTATACTACCTTTTAGTAATTTGTGAGTCACTTTTCATGCAGTGAGGAGATGAATAGTAATTAAAAGCTAAATCTGGAACTCAGACCTGGTTTCATTCTAACCCTCCTACTTAACCGACTGTGCATCTTTCTTTCATTTCAATTTTTTTTAAGTAAAGAAAAAAAAGAGTATAACTGTTACTGTGAGATGAAATGAGATTATATACAAATGTTGGCAAATTATGCATTCAATGTATTTTATTAATGCTCATTAAGTGCTAGTTTTGGGGTTCATTATGTATTGGGATATGCCAGTGAACAACACAGTCTCAAACCATATTCATATTGTGCTCATAATCTAACATAGTCCTTGGCATAAATTTAGTCCATATTAGTCAAGACTCTTTCCAGCAGGGACAGACATATACTTTTAGCTAACTTTTGCAAAAACAGAGGAAAGTGTTAGATAATAGTTTCTGGCCCAGGAACTCACATTCCCAGGTCATAAGAGAAAGCTATACTCACTTTCTACTAGGTAGTGGGTGGGTGGGATTCTTTTTTCCACAACTCAAATCCAAACTTTCTTTCTATAAAGTTGCCAAAAAGCTTTCTCAGATCCTACAAAGCAGACATCTGAGCTCTGAGTGCTAAGTACCTGAGACTTTAATGCTTATTCTCTATGTAAGATTACTCTCAGGCTTCTAGGAGGTCAGAGATCTCTCTTGAAGCAGAGATCATCAGTGTTCAGCATTGCCATAATGTCTACATGCACTGGCATGGAATAGAGTGACTGAAAGTAGTCACGTGTTTCTTCTTGTATGTTTTCCTA